TTAAGTTGGTGAATGCTGCCATAATATTTGCTTTCAGTTCATCTTTGGTGCCAAAAAGAGATTTTGTGGTCATTCGGTCAACTGCGCCGCACACTAATAATGAAGGGGGTTGCAGTGTGGGGAGTTAGGTGGCCAGATGTAAGGGGTGATGTGATCGCAGAAATTGTCTGACATCAATGACTGGGTTCTTCTGCTTGTGCGGCATCGTACAGAGATGCCAGATATAGGGTCTTTCAGCAGCCACCCCAAAGCAGCCCTACCTCCTTACTTGATGTAAGCCTCCATGTAGAGTCAGAGTCCCTGAGAGAAGATGAATGAAGGCATAACGTCACCATCATTAGGGATCACTCCAAACGCCTTTGTAATCACCATTAGACTCATCCAACTCTTTCCGAATCCTCTGCACTGTCCTCAGATTGATAGCCAAATACTCTGAATGTTCGTATTGGAGTTTCTGGCACGAATGCCAAGCTGTATAGCATGCAATTTCCAGTCTTCTGGCCGAGTGAATTTCATCATTGTGCTCTTTTTCTCACAGACGTTTTCCATCTGACCCTACTATATTGTGCAGTCGACAAAATCAAAAACAAACAACGCACATGCGTGAAATTAAAAATATAAAATGGCGACAGTTTAGTCATCGCTATCTATCTATCTATCTATCTATCTATCTATCTATCTATCTATCTATCTATCTATCGTTTTATTAATCTAATCTATCAGTCCGTCTAGCTATATATATATATATATATGCACACACATGCACATACACATACGCACACGCATATATATATCTATATATCTGTCTATCGCTCTCAGTCTGTGCCTATCTTTCTATCTGTCTGTCTGTGTGGCCGTCTCTCCATCTGTCTATTTCTTTCCCTCTCTCTCTCTCTCTTTCTCCTTCTCCCTCTCTCTATCTCAGTATATTCATATTATTTGTGCCTATCTTTCTGTTTATCTATCTCTTTGTCAGTCTGTCTTTCTATTCATCTATCGCAGTCTCTTCATATGTACTTATGTATGTATGTAAGTATGCATGTATATATATATGTATGTATGTATGCATCTATCTCTATGTCTGTCTGTCTATCTATCGCAGACTATTCATATCTATCTATTACATTTTGCTTATGCCTGACGATCTCTAAATAGTTTTATTCACATCAAAAAAGTCCCTCCCTACCTCCCCATCTTTATACATATATTTATTTCAATTCCAAAGAACCCGGTAATATTTTACAAAATATTCATATTTCAAAAATAGTCATATTTTATTCATTATTCAATCCACAAATTATGTTTTTTATGTCTTACACTATCTTTCAGATAAATTATGTATTTTCTGATAAATGAACGTTTCTGGCTTTTGTCTATATTTCTAAGATGAGATATTATGTACATTATTTACATTATTCGCACTATTGTCCTCATCTTTGTCGCCATATTTATTACAACGTTTCAGTCTTTCAGTATCTGTCTATATTTCTGAGATGAGGTATTATGTGGACTATTTACATTATTCGGACTATTGTCCTGATCTTTGTCGCCATATTTATCACAACGTTTCGGCCTTTCAATATCTGTCTATATTTCTGAGATAAGGTATTATGTACTCTATTTACATTATTCGGACTTTGTCACCATATTTATTACAACGTTTTGGCCGTTGTACGCTCCGGTCTTCTTCAGGTAGTTTGAATGTCGAACTGAACGCTTTATTTCGCTCACTGAGGTAGACTGTTCTAGTTCCATGTGCCATGTTTAATGGATGTCAGTTATCAGTTATCTCCTGTTAATTTCCCTCTGAAAGTTCTCCACTGCCATAACCGGGTATTGAACTCACACGCTTTGGGTCCTGTCACTGGATCTAACTAACGCCTTTATCCACTGTGCCATGTGTCCAGTGAGCGAAATAAAGGGTTCAGTTCGACATTCCAACCACCCGAAGAAGGCCGGAGCGTACAACGGTCGAAACGTTGTAATAAATATGGCGACAAAGATGAGAACAATAGTCCAAATAATGTAAATAATGTTTCCGGTTTTTATTCAAATAATGCTTCAATAAATTCTTCGACAACCACTGAACGGGCGATGGAGGTTGTATCGAGTGAAATGGCTGAATGCAAAACGTCTTAAGAATGTATCACTTGAGTCCCACCTAAGCTGCATGATTTTTTGCCGTGCTGCAAAAGACAAAGACTGACGTTTTTATCAGGCAAAACGAACGATTGACTTATTTGCCTAGAACCTCAAACGAGCCAATTGCTCAATGATATATTGCACAATAACAGTTTGTTCCAATTCCAACAATTCTAAATAAAGTTTGGTTTGGTTTGGTTTGTTATATGTCATATAAATCACAAAGGGTTATTTAACGCCAACCAAGATTTTTTTTTTTTAATCAATGAGTTATTTAATGCCGACAAGATTTTTATTGCTGGTAATATTTTTATCTATCTATCTATCTATCTACCTATCTTGGTCTCTTCATGTTTATCTGTCTCTCTTGGTCTCTTCATGTTTATCTGTCTCTCTTGGCCTCATCTATCTATCTATCTATCTATCTATCTATCTATCTCTTTCTCTATCTATCTTGGTCTCGTCATATCTATCTATCTATCTATCTATCTATCTATCTATCTATCTATCTATCTATCACAGTATATATTGGTTTGGATTGTTTTGGCATATCAGCCTCAATGGATTATTTAATGCCGACAAATTTTTTATTGCTGGTAATATTTTTTCACAAATCGTTTTGCTGGTAATTTTTTTTCAAAAATGTATTGCTGGTAATATTTTGTTTGTAATAATTTTTCCTTCAAAAAAGCATTGCTTTGTAATAATTTTTCCTTTAAAAATATATTTCTGGTAATGATTTTTTCTTTAAACATGTATTTCTGGTATTAAAATCTATTTTTACACCTTTACGGCACTTTGACTCCATTTTGGGGGTCAACTATTTGCCCATAGCTGAGACCATAACAGGTGTTACCACCCCGGGTCAGAGTGGACCTGGGAACATCAGCAATTAAAAGGTGGTTCCACGCTCCTCAAACCCCTTGATCAGAGGCCTTACTGTCTTACCCAGGACGCGGATGAAGTTTATCGTCATACCCAGGACAATCTAAAGAATTACTTTTCAATCATAACAATGGAAATATACTTTTTTTTTTTTTTCTCATTATATGTATCTTACTTTGAGATGCTAAAAAGCCTATGCTGAATCTAGTCACTATTTTCTTCGATTTAGATTCTTGTAATAAAACCATTTTTAATTCCTCGTCACTGTCTTGTCCAGAAAGTATTTTCCGCGTCAAGCAAGAAGCAAAAACAAAAATGTTTTAAGCACTGACTGATTTTCGATTTCCTAAATTAAAGCAAATGTCGTTTTCTCCTTTTGTAAGTAACAGACGATATATGCGAAAAAGGGTTGAGAAGCTAGTGTTAAAATTTCCCTAATATTGTACATACGATGGCGCTGGAAAAATATTGTAATGTCGTGTTCACTAAAATATCAAATACGATATTTATAAACCAATCACATTCAATAAATTGCTCACATCTTAAAACACATCAATAAAACCATAGAACACAAATCAGAAAGTTTGTTGTATCATGATTTAGGTAGATACTACCAAAATATCGTGCGGACAGTAGAAGACATACTACGTGGCTTATTCGGACCAATTAGAAATAATTTAATTCTGGAGTCGATTTTCTTACGATAAAGTGTATAAAAACACAGCAAATACGGCCCCAAACAGGATACTCACAGCTGTCACCAAGGTCCACGCTACTCTCGCTTATAATCTTCACGACCTCATGCTAAAAGCGACAGTGATAACAAATTTCAAAGAGACCGCTTCAGACTACGACAACACCGCCAACATTAAGAAACAATTTCTAACTATCTCTTGTATCCTGTTTACTATGAACGCACACGTGTTGACTTTTTCACACAAACACACATATAGCAACATTTCATTGTTTTTCATATACGTACACAAAGACAATTTATATTCTATTCCAGAACGTTATTGACCTAAACAGAAAGACAACACTTTCTAATCTATAACCAACTGCTTGTATTCTTGTCGTTATATTAAATTAATGTGTATTTATTGAAACTACGTTGTCTTTTCTACTGTATTTTTGTTCTTTCAATGAAAATCATATGATTATTCTAAATGGCTTGCAACAATAGTTTATGTAATCCTATCTAATACTGACATTTAATATTTTAACACGAAAAAAAGATTCCTTCAGTAGTAATATGTTAATTTTTGGTGTTTTTTCTTAATTATTTCACCCCAAGCAACTAAGATGCAAGAAGTTACTGAGAGTGTACGAATCAGAGGAAAAGGTTATGGAGAAGAAAGGACAATAAAAAGAACATGATTTCGAAAGACAGATGATGACGGCTGATATTGCATTTATATTTTTGAAGATCGTAGTTAAGCAAGAAGCTGGAAGAGAGTTCCACAGGCGAGAAGTGCGAGAGAAGAAACTATTAAACTATAAATGTCTGTTACACCTAGGAATTTCAAAAAGTAAAATAATGAGACATGAGAGCCATGATCACCCACGTCCGGAAAGGAGACGAAACAGAATATTCCAGATTGCGAGTCGAACTTCAAACAATAGGACCACTTACTAAACTTCTGGTGAGTAGTGGAATTTTGCCTTGTTTATAATTAGTATAGAGGTCGATCCTCACTAAGTGCCCTTTGTGTGAGAGCTGGCAAATTGCAACCTCTGATGACTAATGTGTCAAAATTCCTCTTTTTTGTCAACCTTACGTGGATTCAGGTGTTAAGATATGAAATGATGCTTTTTTTTCTGATTTTCTTTTTATTTTATTTTATTTTGTGTGTGTGTGTGTGTGTGTGTGGATATTGAGGGTCTCAAAATTAAGCTGTCAAGCCGAGTGTCAGTGTAAATGAGAATCTCGTAGTTATTATAACGGATCCCTTTGTTGGGTCATAATGTGTGCTTTAAATAACAGGGGCGCCTTGTTTGCAATTCGTCATGAATGTGACCGTTTGATTGGTAGCTGACAAAAAGTAAGAGACGGAACAATACAGTTTACACCATATGTACAATGAATGGGACCACTTGTTGATATCCGGTATTTTCAGCCCCATTTGCGCTTTTGTTTTTCTTTTTAGGGATGGAACCAGAAAGGGGGTTAAGAAAATGGAAATGGGAATGGAAATAAAACAAAAATAAAAGATATACCCACGACACAAACAATAAAAGTATAGAATACAAAGAGCGGAACATCGGGAAGAAATCATCGAGAAGGGAGGGTGAGTCGACCGAGAATTCAGCGGAAGGAGAAAGAAAGAAAGAAAGAAAGAAAGAAAGAAAGAAATGGCGCTGAATAAAACAATGGTTAAAAAGAAAGAAAGAAGAAATAGTTAGAAAAAAGAAATGATTAAAAAGAAAGAAAGAAAGAAATGGTTAAAAAGAAAGAAATAAAAAAATGGTGCTGAATAAAACAATGGTTAAAAGAAAGAAAGAAAGAAAGAAAGAAAGAAAGAAATGGTTAAAAACAAAGAAAGAAAGAAAGAAAGAAAGAAAGAAGAAAATGGTGATAAATAAAACAATGGTTAAAAACAAACAAAAAAGAAACAAAGAAAAGAAGAAAAAGAAAGACGAAAATGGTGCTAAATAAAAGTATAGTTAAGAAACAAAGAAAGAAAGAAACAAACAAACAAACAACAGGAAAGAAAAATTAAGGACGAAAATCAAGAGTGAGTGGAGGGAAGTTGAAAGTGAGAAGGAAAATCTTTTTTTACAATAATGTTCACCCTGTACAAGGCCGAAGTGCCACTCGAGCTTAGGCGTTACAATCTAATAGGTAAGCGGTACAGTTTATGAAGGAAGAAAACGGTTAACCCCAGACTTGAACACGTTAAGATTGTAGTGATGAGGGAAGCATCCTCCTGGGAGTCTGTTCTATAATATAAAGGGGACGAAAAGAAAAAACGGAAACGAAGAAAAAGCAAGAAATGCCAGTTTGTGAATGAAGAAAGGGATCGAGGGACAAACATGATTTAAAACAATATGGAAAAGAAACGATAAAGGGAAAGTAGGAGAAAAATAAAATGAATAGTGGGGGGAAAAAAGAAAAAGAAAGCGATAAACAAATAGAAAAGAAATAAAGAAATGATAAAAAGATTGGCTGCGAAAGAAAGAAAGGAAGGAAGGAAGGAAGAAAGAAAGGAAGGAAGGAAGGAAGGAAGGAAGGAAGGAAGGAAGGAAGGAAGGAAGGAAGGAAGGAAGGAAGAGTTGGTGAATAAAATAATTGTTAAAAAGAAAGAAATAAAAAAGAAGAAAAATGTGCTGAATAAAACAATGGTTGAAACGAAAGAATGAAAAAGAAAGAAATAGATATTGAATAAAACAATGTAAAAAAATAAAGAAGTAAAAAAAGAAGGAAGTAAAGCAATAAAGAAGTAAAGAAAAAAGAAAGAAAAGAAGGTTAATAGAACAGAAATAAAAAGAACAGTTACAACAGGTGTAAAGAAAAACAGACGAACGTTTAAGTTGTAGTGAAGCTTTATTCATTGCAATTTGATAACTGTCCATAAGCGAATCTTTTATAGTCGAGTAGTTCAAGGAGGAGAAAACTATGGTTGTCTTCACCATAACTGGAAAGAAACATTAACACCAATAAATAAGAAGGAAAACGAGTGAATAAATAAACGAATGAATAACTAAGAAAGAAAAAAAGAAAGAAAGAAAGAAAGAAAGAAAGAAGTACTGAATAAAATAATAGTTAAAATGAAAGAAATAAAGTATGAAATAAAGAAAGAGAAAAAAATCGAGTTGATAGGAGAGAAAGAAAAAGAAAGAAAGAAAGAGTTAGTGAATGAAATAATGTTTAAAAAGGAAAAAGAAGAAAACGGTATTGAATAAAACAATGCCCTTTGCGTGCTAATGGTACTCTCGCCTTGATTGGGGTGAAAAGCTTTAAAAAAAAGGAAGAAATAAAGAAGTAAAGAAAGAAGGATGTAAAACAAGAAAGAAGTAAAGAAAAAAGAAGGAAAGAAAGAAAGAAGGAGAGAAAGAGTTTATTTTTCTTCTGATGGAAAATAAGAAATGATAGATACGACATGAGAATGAATCACTCGGGTAGAAGGAATAAATAAACGAGAGGAAAAATTTTTTTAAAGGCGAACTGAGTCAGGGTAAAAAAATACAGAGGGAAAAGAATGAAATTGTGAAATCAAAATAAATAAATAAAAAGGAAAAAAATATACCAAAGAACGGAAGGAGAGAATGAGAGAAGAGGCCAAAATTGAAGAGGTCAGAATTAAAAGGTCAAAGTTGAAAAGGTCAAAAACAGAAAGAACATGAAAAAATTGAAATTAAGGCCAAGAATTGAAATTAGAATTAATTAAAATGAAATTAAATAGAAAAGATAAAAATGCAGTGATGCTTATTTCATGCACCGTGATATAGTGCTCGGTTGGTTGCGTCTGGTTTCAACGAGTAGACAAAGGATACCTAGATCTATATAATAAACGCGAATGTCAGTGTGTCACTGTGTCACACTTTTTCAATTAAAGGGACACAACTCTCTCACTTTCAATAGCTCATGTTGCAAAAATTTTGAATTCCCAAGTTTTCATTACTGTTATTATTTTCGGCGATTTTTGTACGTGATTTTTTTATGACGATTTTTTTTTCTTTGGACGATAACAATTTTATAACTTAGAAATAAATTTGGGAATAATCGAAATTAATCGCAGAATCCAGTGAAAGTCACCCGTGAAATAAAAATAATTGTTTGTACGGATAGGAAGGGCCTATGTACATCAAAATGTCTTTAACTTGAGTGGCAGCAGAAGAACTATCGTTGAGCATTTAAAAAGTAAGCTTAAATAATGATGCAATGTTTAAATGCTGCGATCAAATTTGAGTCCTGTTGCCTATCGCATACAGTAGCAGTATGCCTCGCAAAAAGAAATCTCCCTCAACAGAGAACCAGACTGCAATCAAAAGATCCAAGGCTACAGCGAGGAAAAGAAAGTTCTGTTCAAATGAAAACTCGGATCAAATGGCATACAGGGCAGCTTCCAATGCTAAGAATATACAAACACTTAGGGATTCTCAAACACCTGAATATGCCAAAGGCCAAATCAAGAGCCCTCCCGATAAAGCGGCTTTTAGGCTAGTGTGTGTGTGTGTGTGTGTGTGTGTGTGTGTATATATATATATATATATATATATATATATTGAAATTATAATTATTTATTTATTCAGGTTTTTGACTCTGGTTTTTGAAACATGAGAACTCATATCTAGCGAAGGAATCATATTTTTTTTAAAAAAATAATTATAATTTAAGTTCTACTTCTGTATGGAGCACTGTTTTTTTAAAATAAAAACAAAAATACTAAAGAACCCCGGATTATTTACCTAACGTGTTCTTTCCTATTTTTCTACATATTTGCACACACACACACACACACATATATATATATATATATATATATATATATATATATATATATATATACCATTATATAATTAAAGTGGTTTTATATATCTCCACATTGTTTCCGTCCAGATGCTTATCTGTAAACATTTTCAGAATAGAAAAAAATCACCATAGAAAAATGAGAAAATGGTGACATGGAGAAATAAAAAGAAAAAATCAAAGAAAGCTGGTTTCTTGCTGCTACAACAACTTTCAGTAGCGACCAGAAGCTGTGATCATGACATTTTCGGGGGTTAAATCTTGTAACAAACAGACAGCCCCGTCCTATACGTCCCGACTAATTAGGTGAAAGTATCAGGCAGTTGTGGATAAATTATCTGCAACATGCATATGTATATTGTCTGTTTGGGATTTAGAAGTTTCTAAACAATACTGGCCCTTATGAAAAATCAAGGAATAGTGTGGATATTGTACGTTTTTCTATATGTGAATATATTTTTTTAAAACCCACGCGAAATTATTCACTGGATATAATATCGTGTAACTTTTGAAGACCTCATTTTGAATCTAATTTTAAGGGGGTTGCATCATACACAAGATATAAAATTAGCTTATGTATTGCTGGCTCTAGCTACACCATTGATCAAACTATATATCTATTTACTGTAATCAAATTAGCTTCAAAATTAATTCTTCAAAGGTTGCGTGATATAAGAGTATATACGGTATTTATTTTGTGCCTATTAGAACAGGTGGTATTGGTTGTTAGATTTAGCTGCATATCAACACCTCTATGGGTTATTTAATGCTGAAATCTAAATATTTTATACATAATTTTATACTCTTACGGTAAAGATATGTTATACACACACACACACACACGCACACACACACAGACAGACACACACACACATATATATATATATATATATATATATATATACCTATATATATTGATAATATTAATGGTCAATGATGAATTGGATCGTGATTACGATTTTAATGTAATAAATTATAACCATGGAATATTAGTGAGCCTGATATATATATATATATATATATATATATATATATATATATATATATATATATATATATATATATATAAGAACATTGTTGACTTCAATCTTTTATATTTACATACGCTCTATCTCTGATATTGAGCAGTTTATCCCACAAATATAGCACACCTTAAAACTATATTTCTTCATATATATATATATATATATATATATATATATATATATATATGTATTGTTGGTAATTTTACTATAAAAATGTATTTTAATATTTTTTAGTGTTGCATTGATTGTCATTTTACGATAAAAAGGTAATGTTGGTTATTTTATTATAAAAAATGTACTTGATTGTTTGGGGATTTACTATTTCCCATACTCAACATTCAGTCGTAATTGATTCTCGCGAGATTTCACAAGAAATCATTTCAACTCAGAGATAATAAAGAATAGGACGCTGTGAAGAGCGATCTTTAAGAACAAGATATGGATTCATACTTTTCACAAGGGTATTTGTTCATAGATGAATATAACGAACACTAGTGGAATACGAACTCTCATCGCGGATTCATCGTCCCGAGTCGCTAACGAAAACAGTCATTCTTTCTCCTTTCAAGACGTAGGCGATCATGGCTCTCCACCTCCTTCTATCCTTTGCAGCTCTCAACAAGTTCCTTCCCTCTGCTTCCTTCCCCAGACCACGTTCTGTTATCCACTTGCTTAAGTCTGCCAGATATGTCACGCATTGTTTTCCCTTCTCACTCTTTCCCTCTATTCGACCCGTGAGTATCAGATTCTCCAGGCCCTCCTTCTTTCTTTTTTTTTATGTTCCATGTCCTTTCCGGATGTAGTCGATCATGGCTCTCCACCTCCCTCTATCCCTTGCAGCTCTCAACAGGTTCCTTCTCTCTGCTTCCTCCCCCAGACCACGTTCTGTCATCCACCTGCGCAAGCTCGCCAGGTATGTCATGCAGTGCTTTCCCTTGTCTCTCTTTCTCTCTATTCGATCCGTGAGTATCAGATTCTCCAGGCTCTCCTTCTTCATTATGTGTCCCAGAAACTTCAGCTGCCTCTTCCTGATATTAAGTATAAGCCTCCTCCTAAGATCTCATCGTTGCTCACACACTCGGACGATGATATCCTTAGCATCCTTCTGTAGAACCACATCTCTGTCGCCTCGAGTCTCTTCTTCATCTTTGAGGAAATCGTCCAGCATTCGCTTGCCACAGCTAATTAACATATTTAGTAGCAGGAGTTCCGATTGGGATGCGAGACGACCCCCCGGGGGTTTTTCCACGATTTCCGAATAAATGAATCTTAAATTAAGAAGTCAATTTATGTAAGAGTTTGTAGGACTTCCAGTGCAATTCACTTAATTGCTATTTCGTAAATTAAAACGCATTTACATCAAACAATTAATATTTCCTGGCTGCATGTTATTGGATTAATGGATACCACAAGACATAACTATTTCAATCATAATATTTCTGTCTCCGAGGAATTTTAGCATTAGCATATGCAACATAGGAAGTGTGTGTATGTGTATGCATGTGTGTGTGTGTATGTGTACATATGTGTATACTAATTCCTTATAATAAGACAGTATGTATTTATAGAGAGGGAATATACGTATGTGTACGCATACTGGCAAAAAAACAAAAAAAAATGGAAGTAGATCTAAGAACAAACAGGAGTCGTTAAAAGATAAGAATATAGATATCTTTTTCACCCTTTCTCGGACCAGTCTTAGTTGTTTTATTACTCTTCACGCAGAATTCTTTCACTGCTAGTTCAAGAAAGACATTTGGTTCACTAACACACAAAAAAGTGAATGTCTAATATCGAGAATATTTAACTTCGAAAAACATAAGGAAAATTAATTCTTTTTAATAATATGTGGAAATATCCACTCTTTGCCTGATGAAGGTCGTGAGGCCGGAAACTTGCGTAGCAAAATTATGAAAAATAAAGTATAATATATTTTTTTAAACAAATCTACGTTGCAACCAAAAACGTTTGCGCGGCTTCTTCTTTTTATTATACATACTTTTCTCTCGTTGGTACTGCTATAACCTCTTCCCTTTATTATATATATATATATATATATATATATATATATATATTATTCTGACTGATATCTTTATCTTCATCACCATATTTACAACGTTTCGACTGTTTCGGCCTTTATCCACTAGGCTGTATGTCTTTGAGGACACAGGGGTCAGTCAAGAAAGGCGTTGGTTAGATCCATTGACTATACCCAAAGAGTTGTGAGTTCAATACCATGCGATAGCGGTGGCGAACCAAAACTTGGAGAGTTGAGTTAAAGGAAAATAACTGAGACATCCGGAAGAGGCGTGGCACGTGGAACTAGAACAATGTACCACCTTATGGACGAAATAAGGTGTTCGATTTGAAATTCCAATCACGAAGTGTACAACGGCCGAAACGTTTCGAATATGGTAACAGCCCGAATAATTTAAGTAATCATAATACCATATATATATATATATATATATATATATATATATAGTTTTAAGGTGTGCTATATGTTATGGTCCGGTTCCTTGTACCACGGTGATAGTCCAAGGTAGAACCAATAATGAAGAACTCGGACACGGATATGGAATAACAGATATATACAGAGAAGTAGAA